CAAAAAAAAAAAAAAAAAGTAAAAAAAAGAAATGCAGAATGTCAGACCTCACTCCTGACCTATTAACAAAATTTTAATAAGATTTCTGGAGGTTATTTTTAGGTACATTAAAGTCTGAGAAACATTGTTCCAAACATCTGGAATAAGCTTTAAATAATTAACAGTATCAGAGGCAGTATTAAACAAGAGAACTAATTTCTTATCTCAGAGCCAACTTGTATAACAAATCCTCACAAAAAGTGAAATGAAGGGCATGTTTAAAACCCAAATAAGTTCAATTTTGCTTTTAAAAGGAATGAAGGACATTTGCTAAGATATTTTTTCCATTATCCTCCAATCCAAATATTTGATAAAGGGATATTAAAGATGGGTATTTAAGTACCTAAGAAATTTACAATTTGCAATCTGAACGCAGTTTATATACAATTCATCCAAACACCTTCCCAAGCAATTAATATAATAAAACAATCTAAGATTGAAAAACTAAGCACAGGAAAATAAATTTAGGGTCATATAATCATTCCATTGAAAATACGACAAAAAAAGTATAAAAATCAAATCTAACACACTGGTGGTTTACTGTCAAATCTCATGTGCTCTTGTCATATATCTATGGACGAACAAGTAAAACAAATGTGTTTCCTCTACTGACAAAAAGTTGAAGAGAGTGCTAGGTGGATCAATTCCTTTTAATTTACAGATGTGGCCAGGTGTGGTGGCTCGAGCTCAGGGGTTTGAGACCAGCCTGGGCAACTTGTGAAACCTTGTCTCTACAATAAATCAAAAACTTAACTAGGCGAGGTAGTGTGCGCCTATAATTCCAGCTACGTGGAAGGCTGAGGCAGAAGGATAGCCTGTGCCCAGCAGGTCGGGGCTGCAGCAGCTGTGAGTGTGCCACTACACTACAGTCTGGGCAACAGAGTAAGACTCCAGCCCCCCTCCCCCTCTCCCAAAAAATTTACAGATGTATGATCATCTGTAAAAATATAAGAAATTTTTATTGGCTTTGAAAGTATACAAAGCAAACTATGTCAAATAAAAGTTGTTTTAATTTTATAAACAAAGGAGACAAAACTGGTTTATCAGAACAGGTTAATCCCCACTATTCCCAACAACAAAAAACCCCAAACAAAAAGCCAAAACATACACCTGCATGCATGAACAAATGCACATACATACATACCAAGAACAAGAGCAGCAGCTGGAATTTCTCTGAGTTTTATTTGTCGGCCCAAGTCTCTTGAATTCTGGAATCCAGAATGAGACTTTTGCAGAAATTCAATGAGACTGTCAAACAAGTTTTTATTTAATTCCTCTTGCAGTCTCTAGAAAGAAAACACAAAACTTCATGAATTATTATTAGTAGCAGTAATCTGATGTCTTTCCTATCTTTGGAAAGAAAATTGTCATGAATTCGATTTTAAAGATTACAAGTAAAATGATTACAAGGTGGATCAAATAAAACACTTTTTTCCCTTAAACCCCTAGTGATTAGTGCTTGGGATGTCCTCCATTAAAAAGTCCCTTTCATTTATTCACTCAACTAACATTTACTAACCACCTTTTGAATGAAAGATAGCCTTCACTCTAAAAGTGAAGAAAGTAGACAGGACCACTTATAATAAAAATACGAGAGGGGACCCAAAGAGTATCGGAATTTACTCACAGCAAATGGGGTACTGACTCTTACATGTTTAAACTTCAGTCACTTTTGAGGTATTTTTTCCACTGTTCAAAACCACTTTTCAACTTATCATTTTTGATGCCTTTTAGTGTCTCTGCCATTTTTTGTTTCACCTATTTCGCATCAGCAAAACATTTCTTTTTCTTCATCCAGGTAAATTAAAAAGAATCGCTCAGATCCAGTTCAGGTGACTCAGGAGGGTGGGGCATGGAGGTCATGCTGTTTTCTGTCAAAAACTGAACACCTGGCATGGTGTGGGTACGTGCCTTGTCATGGTGGAAGAGCCAGTGACCTGTTTGTCACAACTCTAGACATTTCTTCTGCAAATCATGACACAACCTTCTCAAAACTTCCAGATTAAAAACTCTGGTTGACTGTCTGACCTGGAGGAACAAATTCTGAGTTTATTGCAAGGGGCCCGCTCTCCAAAAGATAATTAAGTTTTTTTTTAATCCCCCTTGTACACTGTATAGACTGCCACGATGGCACTGGAACAGAGAATAGGACCATCTAACTTAAACTGAAGAGGCAATATATTTGAACCAAGGCATTAGCAAGTCATAGAGGGGGGTGACAAGAGGGAAAGAAAAGTTAGAAGAAAATAAGTTAGCAAGGTAAGGAAGAGAGCCATCTGGGGAGCCAGACACAGTCACATAATAAAAAGTATGAGAAGTGATACGAAATGGGGCTGGACAGATAAGCAAAGACCTAGACCAAAACATATATATATATATGTATATAGTGTTACTAAAGGATTTGAATTTTATCCTGTGGGGACAGTTACAGAGGGGTGTGACGTAAGTAAAGACATGATTAAATCAGGGCTAAGAAGGATTAATCTGGCCAGGCGCAGTGGCTCACACCTGTAATCCCAGCACCTTGGGGCGCCGAGGTGAGAGGATTGCTGGAACCCAGGGGTTCGAGACCAGCCTAGGCAACTTGATGAGACCGCACCTCTACAATAAAATAAAAAAATTAGCCAGGCATGGTGGCACGTGTCCGTAGTTCCAGCTACTTGGAAGGCTGAGGCAGAAGGACTGCCTGAGCCCAGCAGGCGGAAGCTCCGGTGGCTCCGAGTGTGCCACTACACTCCAGCCTGGGCAACAGAATGAGACTCCGACCCAGAAAAAGAAAGGATTAACCCAGCTGCAGGGATAGAGAACCGCTCGCCTGACATAGGACTGTGTTCGTCTGAAGGGGAGGACTTTTCTAATTGGTCAATGGTTCCAGTAAGGGCTAGTGGCAGACTTAAAGGGTCTGATATCAGAACTAGGGATGCCAGTTAGGATGCCAACACAGGTTAGGAAATGAAGAGGGCCCAAACTGGAAATCACAAACTCCAGTATCTTCAGGGATCACATGGAATACATGAATGAGTAAAGTCACTTGATAAAAAGCAAGAGAGGTTGGTGGGAGGCAGTAAAAGGTGAAAAGTGTACAGCCCTCTCAAAGGGAACCAAAAGCAAAAACTGTAAACACTGTTTTGGCCAAAAAACAAGTTGTTGGTTCAAAATGTTGCCCCCAGAGCTGTCAATTTGCTATAGTGGAGACATGTTTCAGAGTTGGAATATAAAGAACAAGGTAACTACATATGAGGATGAGGGAGTGAAGGAGTTTAGAAACAGCTTGATTTCATACATGTGTTAGAGTGGAACAATTTAAGAGTGCACCATAAAAGCTCCTTGTCTTAGCAGCTATCATAAACATATTTTGGGAACCTAAAACTATGCTGAATATTTGGAATAAGGGGTTTTTTTTAGAATACACAAGATATACTTGACCAATATTTCCACATTTCATCAATACTCTTGTAAACTGGTAGAAAGGAAGATGGGAAGCAACAAACATGAGATTTATGCTATTAGAGAAATGTTATTAAAAAAAGTATTCACCTCAGTTTCAGATTTCATCTGTTGCCATAGCAGCTGATAAGTTTCAAATCGAAGCTTACTGTCCTCAGACTCATTTTTTCCTTTATTAAAATAGTCCTCTAAAAACACAGAAAGAAATGTCAGGTTTTTAAAAAATGCAGTAAACGTTAGAAACCCTGTGTGCAAAGTCACACTGTAAGTGACAGGGGTTGAATTTTTGTATGCCCCCCCCAAAATGTAGGTAATAGATAATATTCAATATCCTTTATGCTTAATTTTATTTAGATAGTTTTTATTCTTAGCATTTTAATGGTCTTAAAATAGATTGAATTTTAGATTGCATTTCTATCATTTACTTTTGAATTTCTAACAGTTTTTACTTGTTTTTGGCTTGAGTTATATACATTTAATATTAACGTGTTTTCATTATTTGCAGTTATTCTATGACCTTGTATACTTTGCTTCATATATTTGCTTTGAACTTTCCATCAATAAATGATTCTTATTACTACTATTCTTACATTTTTGTCCCATTGACATGGTTTAGTTCAGTCATTCACTGATTCTGCCTATATATTTTTATAACCTTTTAGAATGTTTTCTTCAAATGGTTAGCCATTTCTCAAAATACCATTTGTTGTATTGGTTTTTAAACGTTCTAAACAATGGTTCATATTAAGGAATACATCTTACATCCTAACCTAACACACATATACATAATGAACAAAGACAAATGTTACAGAAGACAATATTCATCTTTATTATACACAATGAACAAAAACAAATGTAACAGAAGACAATACTCATCTTTACTATATAACAGCAATGTTTCCCTTTTTTTTTGAGTTGGGGTCTCATTCTGTCGCTCAGGCTGGAGTGCAGTGACAGGTTCTCGACCACTGTAGCCTTGACCTGCTGGCCTCAGTCTTTCAAGTAGCTGGAAATACAGGAGTGTGCCACCATACCGGGCTAATTTTTTTGATTTATTGTAGAGATAAGATCTCACACCAAGTTGCCCAGGCTGGTCTCAAACCCATGGGTTCAGGCAATCCTCTTGCCTCCACCTCCCAAAGTGCTGGGATTACAGGCATAAGCCACTGTGCCAGGCTGTTTATTAAAACTATTATCATAGTCCACTAAATTGTTTTCATAACTCACACATGGACTATGGTCTTCAGTTTGAAAAAGTCATATATTAAATAATCCATGCTTCTCCCACTGATTTGACATGCCCTTATAGTCTAAATACTTATTTATACTTTGAACTATTTTTGATCTTTTGTTCTACTGAATCCAACCCCATCCTATACCAGTCTTGAACTGTTTTACTTACTGTAACTTTGAAAGTAGTACATTTTAATATCCAGGTCTTCCTCCCATTGATACTGAATATTGTTACTCTTTTTCAAAAGAACTTAAGCCATTCTTTCCAATTAATTTCATAGTAATTTTGTCTCCTCTCAAAAATAATTATACTGGCATTTTGACTTGATAAAATCGAATTTCTAGATTATTTGGAGAGAAAAAACATCTTTAAAATGTTAAAAAATTCACATCTAAAAAACCCCACAGGTTTCTTCAAATATTTTAGATTCTCTATAGCTTTCTAATTTCAATTCTGGTTGTTTACATATTTTATTACAACAACTGATGTTTTCATGGTGTTAAATTTCTGCTGCTAGTATTGTATCATCAAGTTTTAATGTTAACTGATAGTTTGGACTTGAAATTTACTTTCAAGTTAAGGAAATTTTCTTCTAATCATAGTTGACTAAGAGTTTTTATTTTCCAAGTATTGACTTTTAATTTCACTAAAAGCCACAGACTATATAGAAGCCCTCATATTGTAAAATGATAAACCACATTACAGTATTAAAATGGTGGCTCACGCCTGTAAGCCCAGTACTTTGGGAGGTCAAGGTAGGAGGATTGCTTGAGCCCAGGAGTTCAAGACCAGCCTAGGCAACATAGCAAGACCTCATTCGCATAAAAAATCAGTTGGGCATAGTGAAGTGCACCTGTAGTCCCTACTACTTGGGAGGCTGAGGCAGAAGGATTGCCTGAGTCCAAGAGTTGAGGTTGCGAGAGGAGCCGTGATCATACCACTGCCCTCCAGCCTGGGCAACAGAGACCCCAACTCAAAAACAAAAACAAAAAAGCAAACAAAAAAGAAAGCAAGGAGACAATATTACTAAGAGACAAAGTAGATTAACAAGTATTCTTTAAAAGGCAGCCTTAAAAAAACAGAAACAGTCATTTTACATTGATAATGAGTAAAATTATAGTAAAATGCTGAAGTGGCAAATCAAGACACAAATTTTTTATGTACTGAATAACACTGCAACAAAATACATAATGAAAAACACCTTACAAATTGGGAAATAGGCCAGGTGCTGTGTGGCTCATGCCTGTAACCCCAGCACTTTTTGAGAGGCTGAGACAAGAGCATTGCTTGAGTCCAGGAGTTTGAGACCAGCCTAGGCAACATAGCAAGACCCCATCTTTACAAAACATCAAAAATTAAATTCTTTGAAGTTGCAGATTGCTAAATTTATTAAGCCTAGTCCTAATTCAGAGAAAATACAAGACTTTTTCCTCCATTATCCATGAGGGACATATAGCACGCAATGATATCTGATATCATCAGCAATGCAATTATAACTAATAAAATTGCTAATTTTTCTTGAGCATTTACTATGTACCAGACTATTTTAAGAAGAGGCTGGGTGCAGTAGCTCAAGCCTATAATCCCAATACTTTGGGAGGCCAAGGCGAGACGATTGCCTGAGCTCTGGGATTTGAGACCAGCCTGGGCAACTTGGTAAGACCTTTCCTCTATAATAAATCACAAAATGAGCTGAGCATGGTAGCACGCGCCTGTAGTTCCAGCTACTTGGAAGACTGAGGTGGAAGGATCACCTGAGCCCAGCAGGTTGATGCTGAGGTGGTTGTGAGCATACTACTGCACTCCAGCCTGGGCGACAGAGTGGCCAGGTGTGGTGGCTCACGCCTGTAATCCCAGCACTTTGGGAGGCAAAGGTAAGAGGACTGCCTGAGCCTAGGGGTTCGAGACCAGCCTGGGCAATTTGGCAAGACTTCATTTCTATAATCAATCACAAAATTAGCCAGGTGTGGTGGCGTATGCCTATAGTTCCAGCTACTTGGAAGGCTGAGGAGGAAGGAATGCTTGAGCCCAGCAGGCTGAAGTTGTGGTGGCCATGAGTGTGCCACTGCCCTCCAACGTGGGTGATAGAGTGAGACTCTAACTCGAAAAAAGAAAAGAAAATAAAGAACTGCATATGTGTTAATTTGTTTAATCCCCTCAGCAAACTATAAGGAATGTCTCTATTAAAATACATGAGGATATGCAGACAGAATTTTTTCAATGTTAAAATGTTAGTAAGTGGTACGGTTGGGATTTGAATGCAACTTGATTCTGGAGCTCATGGTCTAACCGTCACTTAATACCTCCTCTCAGGTCAGGTGCTGTGGCTCACGACTATAATCCCAGCGTTTTGGGAGGCCAAGGCGGAAGAACTGCTTGTGCTCAGGAGTTTGGGACTAGGCTGAGTCATAGCAAGACCTCATTTCTACAAATAAATTTAAAAATTAGCCAGGCATGGTGGTGAGCGTCTGTAGTCCCAGCTACTCTGGTAGCTGAGGTGGAAGGATCACCAGAGTCCAGGAGGTCAAGGCTGCAGTGAGCCACGATCATGCCACTGCCCTCTAGTCTGGATGACAGAGTGAGACCTGACTCAAAAATAATATTAATAATAAAAAAAAAAACAGGCCACTGCTTTGTTAAACTCTGCTTTCTCCACATGGTTCTTTAAGTTGTGGCCACCATGCTTCCTTAGCCTTGGTCCCCTCCCCTACCTTGGGGAGGTGGATCTTCTCTTTCTTTCTCTCATTTACTTTCTAAACTTTGCTTGAAAAAAAATAACAATAACAACAATAATAATGATACTGCCTCTCATAATATGTAGAGTTTTTACTGAGAACAAAAACTCCGCACATTATGAGAGGCATTATTATTGTTGTTGTTATTATTATTATTACTCTGGATACTGAAGTGAGAAGATCATTTGAGCCTAAGAGTTTGAGGCTGTGGTGCGCTGCAGTGATCATGCCACTGCACTCCTGTCAGCGACAGAATAAGACCCTGATTCAGGAAAAAAAGAAAAGAAATTGGGAAACAACAGCAGTAGGGCACTCTAACTTGTTATCATTACTTCTCTGTTATTTATATATCGGGTTAGAAAAAAAAGTCTTGAGAGGAAATGATTATAAGCTCTCTATGATAGGCTGAGCGCGGTGGCTCATGCCTAAATCCCAGCACTTTGGGAGGCCAAGGTGAGCGGACTGCCTGAGCCCACAGGTTCGAGACCAGCCTGGGCAACTCGGCGAGATCTCACCTCTACAATAAATAAAAAAAAAAGTAGCTGGGCACAGTGGCATGTGCCTGTGGTTCTAGTTACTTAGGATCGCCTGAGCCCAGGAGGTCAAGGCTCTGGTGGCCATGAGCAAACCACTGCATTCCAGTTTGGACAACAGAGTGAGAATCTGACTCAAACAAACAAAAAAAACACCTCTCTCTGCTGTCAGGTTTCCACCAGCCTGTTTCAATTCAGAGCATGATACTTCAGTAAACATCACCTACAATGCCAGTGCTTCTGCTAGTCTCTCTCTCCCCAGTTCCTGTCCAGCTGGTTTTTGGATGTGCAGTCATCCACAGAATAATGAGGAGTGGGAGTTGCTAGTCTTAAGTACATGCCCAAGTGTCTTGAAGTCAGGGGACAGATGGTGGGCAAAATGCAGCATCTTCCTACTTCTTCAGGCAATCTGTTTCAAGAATTGAAGCCAGTGAAGGCAAGTGCTAAAATCTGGATATATTTTCCTCATTCCTACTCCATCTGTCTTACAATCAGGGTCAATTCCTCAACGATTTTTATATTACAGCACTATCTGTTGGCGTTAGATCCACATAATGAAAAAAAAAACCTAACAAACTTCTAAAGTAAAGTTCAAATTATACAATTATACGCAAAATAAATCCTTATAACTCGTAGCTGAAATTCAACACAAAAAGTTCTAAATAAAAACTTGACATATTATGAGAGGCAATTATTGTTATTACTCTTTTTGAGTCAGGGTCTCATTCTGTCACCCAGGCTGGAGGGCAGTGGCACGATCATGGCATACTGAAGCTTGACCTCCTAGACTCTGGTAATTCTTCTGCCTCAGCCACCAGAGTAGCTGGGACTATATATGCTCACCACCATGACTGGTTAATTTTTTAATTTTTTTTTGTAGAAACGAGGTCTTGCTATATTATGCAGCCTAATCTTGAACTCCTGAGCTCAAGTGATCCTCCTACCTTGGCCTCCAAAGCGCTGGGATTATAGGCCTGAGCCACAGCACAAGGCTCAAGAGGAAGTATTAAATGATGGTTAGAACACGCGCCTTGGAATCAAGTTGAGTTCAAATCTCAGCTGTACCACTTACTAACATTTTAACATTGAAAAAATTCTATCTCTGCATATCCTCATATATTTTAATGGAGACAATACATCCCTCACAGTTTGCCGAGGGGATTAAACAAATTAACACACGTACAATTCTTAAAACAGTCTGGTACATAGTAAACGTTAGCAAGAAATGTTAGCGATTTTATGAGTTATAATTGCATTGCCGATGATATCAGATGTCACTGCTTGCTATGTGTCCCTCATGGATAATGGGGAAAAAGGTATTGAATTTTCTCTGAACTAGTTCTAGTAAATGTAGCAATCTGCAACATTAAAGAAATTTGTTCATAAGTCAATCTCTTAAAATGATATATAATGTAGTTATTCTCTGCTCACTATTCTATAATGAGAAACTGGATTCTAACCATAAGTCATACTTTCTACCCTCTGTTCTCTCCACATTTGACCATTATTTTATTATCTTCTCCTTGGGCACAGATCTCTTATCTAGCTGATTTCAGACTGAAAGGTTAACATTCAAAGTCTGCATCATGTACATCATGTGATGATTTAGATTTTATTCATTCAAGTCACCTCTATTTCAAAACTAGTGCATGGGTATGTTTAATACCGTACCATAAGTTTTCCCTTGGAATTAATTTTCACAGTGCTGAAGATTTAGTGTAAATACTCAAAAGCCTGTGAGAAGCTTTTTAAAAATTCCAACACCTCAAGTCCCACTCCCAGAGATTCTGATTCTTTTGGTCTGGTTTAGGGTCTGCTCTCTAATCTGAAAACCCAAAATCTGAAATGATGGCTTTTGAGTGTCAACATGACTCCGCAAATAGAAAATTCCACACTTGGTTTCGTGTGAAGAATCACAGCTGCAACTCAATCAAAACTTTGTTTTTAGCCAGGTGTGGTGGTATGCGCCTGTAGTCCCAGCTACTCAGGAGGGGAAGCTGGCTACGGGACTGAATGAGCCCAGGAGGTTGAGGCTATGGTGAGCTGTGATCGCATCACCGCATTCCAGCCTTGGGTGACAAGAGTGAGATCCCAACTTAAAAATAAAAAAATAAAAAAGCAAAACAAAACAAAAAGCAACTTTGTTTCATGCATAAAATTATTAAAATATTGTATAAAATTACCTTCAGGCTATGTGTATAAGATGAATATAAAATATAAATAAATTTCATGTTTAGACTTGGGTCCCATCCCCAAGATATCTCATTATGTATATACAACTATTTCACAATTTGAAATCCAAAACACTTCTGGTCTCAAGATCTTCAGATAATAAACCTGTATGTTTAAAAAGTCCTCCCAGTTCAAATCTGAATAGGTCAGTAGATTGTATCAACATCCGTTTTTGGGTGTGATACCATACTACAGTTATGAAAGATATTAGCACTGGTGATAACTGGTGTAAGGGTACAGGTGAACTTTCTATACTGTTTCATACAACTGTATATGAATCTACAATTATATAAAAATAAATAGTTTTGATATAACTTCAGTCCCTCAAGTGATTCTAGAGTGCAACTATTATTGAGAACCAGTGCAATAAACACTGGGACTAGCAATAATATTGTGATTTGTTTGAAAAAGTCAAATCTTCTTAACTTGTTCATTAAACAGATATCTAGAGACAAATTTTTAAAAAGTGAAGACAATAATTTTTTAAATAATTTCATCTTATTGAAGTATAATATATAAAAAATAAAACACACATTTTGAAGTTTGACACAAGGATACACTCATACAACTACCTTCTCAATCAAGATAGAGAACATTATCATCACTTCAAAAAGTTCTCTTCTGACTTTTCACAGTCACTTTCTCCCACCTCATCCCAAGGAACTACCAGACTTTAAAACAATCCCTGTTTGGTTTTGTTCAGATAAATTAATGCCTTTCCTCTCTCATCCAAATGGGCGTATGAGTGTGAGTTGTGTGTTTGGGTGACTGACGAAAATCCACTCTTACTAGCATGAGTGCATGAGTCTGTGAGTGATTCAAACCCATTCCTCCAATAACTTAACAAGTTTGTTTGAGTTGGAATAAAGAGTGACTGAGAAGAACAATGTGGGACTTATGCACATACAAGAAAGAATGGAGGATACAAACTGGTAGAAAGGATGTGAAGATTAACAGGAAGCAAATCTGGGCCACTTGAAAATCTGTAGCTGATCTGATCTGAGTAGAATATCTCCGGCTGCTCATTCTCTGCTTTTCTCTTTCCCCCAGGCTACTTACTGAGAGGATGCTTGGAATACAAACTATAAGGCCAACCTGTTAACAATCAATGAAAACACGATTTCTTCACACGGTATTTTAATTGTTTTACAAAGTCCTACATGTTAGCTCTTAGAGATATGGAATGAGAAAAGGAAGACATCCTAGTGATAAGCCAGTCTACCCCCTAGTTTCACAAATGAGGAGACCTAGGAAAGGTTAAAGAGGTCAAACCATACAGCTTAGTTAGGGGTGCTCATCATCCAAGTTCCTTTATTTCTAGTCCAAATGATTCCATAACCTTATGCTCTTGGAAGTAGAATTATTCTAAGATCCAAGACCTTGGATTTTTTTTCTCAACATGTATTGATGGGCACAGCATTTATCCCTAAATTAAAATATGAAGTAGTCTATTTAACATACATTTAGTTACTAAGCCCATCACTGTATGTTCCATTCAGATGATTTTTGTTCTTTAATTTACTTTGTCAAGTTTATTCATATAATGAAATACATCAAAATTTTAAGCATCTTCAAGTCTCCTCATATTTTATCTTTAATACAAACAATTTTTACACATTTTTCATTAGAAAGTACAAATGTGTAGTCTTTTTTCTTGTTTAGATTCTCCATGTGCTACCAATTATCAACTTATTTTCTATACAATATTCCCCCCATTGTTAGCCATCTGGGTTGCCAAACAGTTGTTACTGTTTTGATTACTTGATCAAGGATTAAAATGCTTTGCTAGGAGCAACCTAATTCCATTTCTAAAGTTGTAAAGAAACAATGGCAGAAATCATCAAAAAGATAACCTCTTGCCGGGCACAATGGCTCACACCTGTAATCCCAGCACTTTGGGTGGCAGAGGCAAGAAGACTGCCTGAGCCCAGAGGTTTGAGACCAGCCTGAGCAACATGGTGAGTCTGTGTCTCTACAATAAATCAAAAAATTAGCTGGGCGTGGTGGCACACACCTGTAGTTACAGCTACTTGGAAGGCTGAGGCAGCAGGATGGCTTGAACCCAGCAAGTAGAGGCTGTGGTGGCTGCGAGCATGTCACTGAACTCCAGCCTGGGTGACAGAGTGAGACTCTGACTCCAAAAAAAAAAAAGGAAGAAAGAAAGAGATAACCTCTGCTAAAAATGGCAAATATCCTTTGTAGGAAATGTACTCTCCTACTTGCTTTTTGAAGGTATATTTGGATCTCTATTCAGATTAGAATCCTGGGGCTATATATCCAACCCTCTGATGATGCTTTGGAATATAACTGCTACATCTACTTAGCAAGTATGCCAGGCTTAGAAAAGAGTTACAAAATTCAATTAGGGTTAGTTCTTAAAGTTTAAGAGGGTAAGGGACTAACAAATTTAATATTAAGACACCTTACCTATTGGCACAGAGATCTTTCTCTTCTTGAAGTTTGGCTTAAATACAAAGCAGCCCTATAAAAAGAAAGAGATAAAAAATATCATGACACTTTTGAAGGAGGTCAAAAGGAGGCTTTGAAGGAGGAAGGAGCCATGAGCCAAGAAATGCAGGAGGCACACAGAAAACAGAAAAGGCAAGGAAACAGATTCGTTCTTGAGCCCTCAGAAAGGAATCAGCCCTGCTGGCAACTTTTTAGCCAACTGAGACCAGTATCAAATTTCTGAACTACAGAACCACAAGATAGTAAATTTGTGTTATTTTAAAGGAACAAACAAAAAAGCATGTAGTCAAAGTAACCCAGGAGCAGACAAGCCTGATTAACCAAGCTGTTTATTTCAAGTTCTAAGAAATCAAATTACTCTTCTCTGAATTACAGAAGGAAAATTCTAAAACAACAAGGGGACTATCCATTGCTTTCCCCTCTCCCAGGAGATTCCCATTTTTGATGCTGTTTTTTTTTTTTTTGAGTTGGAGTGTATCACTCTTTCACCCAGGCTGGAGTAGAGCAGCACGTTCACAGCCACGCAGCCTCGACCTGCTGAGCTCACACAATCCTTCCGCCTCAGGTTTCCAAGTAGCCTGAACCACAGACGCGCTACCAGATCCGGCTAATTTTTTAAAAATTTTAATTGTAGAGACGAGGTCTGGCCAAGTTGCCCAGGTTGGTCTCAAACTCCTGCACTCGGGTAATCTTCCCACCTCAGGCTCCCAAAGTGCTGGGATTACAGGCATGAACCACCACACCTGGCCCTTTGATCTTGCTCTTGGGACTTGATCTAAGAGATAGATCAAGAAAATAAAAGCTGATGAAATTTAAAACCTCTAGGTTCTTATAAAACCTAGAGGAATTAATGCTATACGCTAAGATGAAGGTCAAAAAAGTGAAATATAATGATGCTCTCCCAACCTCAAAATTTACATTTTTTTTTTTGAGTTGGAGTCTCACTCTGTCGCCCAAACTGGAGTGCAGTGGCCACTCCCAGTCACCACAGCCTCGACTTGCTAGGCTCCGGCGATCCTTCTGCCTCAGCCTTCCAAGTAGCCGGAATTACAGGCATGCACTACCACACCCGGTTGATTTTTTGATTTATTGTAGAGATGAGGTCTTGCTGCCCAGGCGGGTCTCGAACCCGCGGGCTCAGGCAATCCACTCACTCACCTCAGCCTCCCAAAGGTGCGGGATTACAGGCTGAGCCACCGAGCCCGGCTCAAATTTTATATTTTAAGTATCTATAACCTTGATAGGAAATAGATCATTTTGGCTACATGCTTTCTTCATCTGAAAAAGCCTTATTCATTAAAGTTTGACTCAAGACTCATCTCTGGGAAACCTTTCTCGACACTCTAGCCAGAAATATTCCTTTCCCTGAGACCTCCCAATACTTGGACATCCTTATTTTGCATCGTTTTAAATCACTATAATTGTGTATAATGGTTATTTATGGGCCTGTATCCCCAAGTAGGTTGTGAGCACCTTCAGAATACACACTTTATTTTATTTATAACTGTTTCCCCTATGTTTGGAATAGTGTGAGCATATACATTATGAAATCAGTATAAAGAATAAATCAATGCTTGTCAAGTAATTTTCCTGGTAACTTCCTAGCTACATTTAGTTTTGTATTGTTATCTGATTAGTGGTAAACAGTCCCCAAGTTATTGGTTCTATTAATCCTTAAGTCATGCATCATAGGTAGCTTCTTAAAGATTTCTATTTCTTTGGAAAATAAAAGAATGATAGAAACATACCTAGGAAAAGTCTCTTGGGATAGTGTTAAAGATAGCTGTGCAAATATAAAGTGGTCATTTGGATTATGGGTTCCAAATTTAGGAACTGTGCCTTATATTTTTATATCTGCAACTAGTAGAACTGCGTAAAATACACACACATATTTAGAACTATGACAAGCTTGTCTCTGCCTCCTTTCTATATCCATCTGCAATTCAGCAATGGAAAAGAAGCTTCAAAGGAGCAAGATATGAAGAGTGACCAGAATGGATTACAATATAAGGCAGCGTTAGTAATATGGTTATGGTTAACCACTTTGAACTGCTGGTTAAGTGACAGTGTTGGAGATGAGGGAGGGCCAAGAGCCAGGAAATGTTATGAGCAAAGAGAAATAAAAATGTTTAAATAGGTTAAAAAAAATAAAGCTGGCATTCTGTGAATGCCTGAAATAGTTCTTAAAGGTTCTTATTTATGTAAAGTCTACTGTATAATCATCTCAATACAGACATTTCTGTTATAATGCCAAAAATGCTTTCCTAAAAAAAAAGAAACTTTCTGCAAGACACATTAAAAAAAAAAAAGGCGTTTATGCAGCAAACAAGAATAAAGGGCAGATCAAAAACTATGAAACTTTATAACCAGGACAAAACAAAAAACAATCCTAATGACAATACTTGTACAGTTAAATCTCTTCCAGCATTTGTACTTAGCATCACAGCCAGCCAGTCCTTTGTAATCTTAAACCTTAGCGTTTTCAAGACTACTGAGATGTAGTCTTGAAAAGCACTGCTTCTCAGTAAAAATCAGATCCAGTCGGGCGTGGTGGCTCATGCCTCTAATCCCAGCACTTTGAGAGGCAGTGAGAGAACTGCCTGAGCTCAGGGGTTTGAGACCAGCCTGGGCAACATGGTGAGACTTTATCTCTACGATAAAAAAAAAATTAGCTGGATGTGGCGGCGTGTGCCTGTAGTTTCAGCTTCTTGGAAGGCTGAAGCAGAAGAACCGACTGAGCCCAGCAGGTGGAGGCTGCGGTGGCCATCAGCGTGCCACTGTGCTCCAGCCTGGGAGACAGAGTGAGACTCTGACTAAAAAAAAATCAGATCCATGATACAGCTGTTTTCATTAATCCACTATTTTAACACAGGGAGACGTTTCTTTGTAGCTTCATCTACATTTTCACCTTCATCAGTTTAATTCCAGGGGTTTAGAATTAAAGGTATTACTCCTGAGCAGCACTGTCCAACAGAATTTTCTGTAATGATAGAAATGTATATCTGTGCTAAGATGGTAGACACAGCCACAACTGGTGATTGAGCACTTGAAATGCAGCTAGTGCGACTGAGAAACTAAATTTTTAATTTTATTTTACCTTACCTTTTTTTTTTTTTTTTTTTTTTTGAGTTGGAGTTTCACTCTGTTGTCTGGACTGGAGTGCAATGGCATGCTCATGGCCACCACAGCCTCGACCTGCTGAGCTCAGGTGATCCTTTCACCTCAGCCTTCCAAGTAGCTGGAACTACAGGCGTGCGTTATCATGCCCGGCTAATTTTTTGATTTATTGTAGAGATGAGGACTCGTCAAGTTGCCCAGGCTGGTCTCAAACCCGTGGGCTCAAGTAATCCTCTCACCTCGGCCTCCCAAAGTGCTGGGATGACAGGCTTGAGCCACCACACCTGGCCACCTTTGTTTTAATTAATACTAAAATAGCGATATGTGGCTAGTGGCTACCACATTGAACAATACAGTTCTAGGGCTTATTGTCCTACCAATATTAAGTCTTGTAATCTCCTGGCAACTAGGCAGTCCCCTATGAGGGCTATATGATCCCCCCCACCACAGACATGTATCTGCATCACTTTTTCATTCTTATTTTTCACAACGCTCCTGCTCTGATTATACTTTCAGTTCCCTTAACATGCCATTTAATTGCTATATTCTAGGTCAAAGAACACATTATTTTCTCTGCTCTCACACCCCAAATCCTTTGTTTACCTTCTATGCATTTTTCAGGTAGTAGCAAAAGGTCCCTTTCTCCAAAAAGTCTTTGTTGACCCCTGGGACCAATATTAGGTTCTCCCTACTTTACCGTTTTCACTCAGAGCTTATCCTTGTCAACACCTAGGACAACGTGTGATCATCAGCTTATCTAGGTTTAACGTCTTTCTTGACTTCAGACTGTCTTGTTTCCCATGGCATCTGAACGGACAGACCGAGAGTGGGAAGCCATTTTTCATGTTATTCTTAAATTCTGACACAATGATGAGAAAATAGAAGGTGTGCTTTTGGAGAAATGCACACTTCAGGTATAATTAACTTTACCGACTTTGTCTTTTGAGAAACAGACTTCCAGGTATCTGAGGTATCTCATAGTGGCCATCAAGCTTGCCTAGAGTAAAGGAAATTTACATGGCCTAAGACATTATGCATTGGGCAAGGACTGTAGAAGTCACGTAACTTGTAATTACAAAAGTTATGACTGCTCAGAAGGGGAGCAGGAGGGGATTCAATCTTCCAGTAAATTGGGCCCTATCTACAGGGAAGTCAAGGATCCCCCCCCGAACCTACCTACTGGGAATGCCTAGGAGATAAGGGGAGGTGCACCCTCCACTTGCTCTAAGGAACGTCGTTTGAGAAGGTGCAGGAGAATTAGAATCCTTGTCACGCCCTTCTCTAGGGGCTATGATAATGTGAGTGGACAT